ATTGTATAATTTAGAAATTTATTGTGGCATGTGCTTCAGTAATCCTATCGCTGGGCTGAGAAAAGCCCTTTTGGATCGTTTCAAGGCTAAGAGCGTGTTCCTACGGACCCCTATCAGGCTAACTCCTTGTCAGGCTGGTGCATGCGATGCGAGCGATTTCGTTATTAACACCGTTTTCCAGACTTGAAAAATTACAATGTTGTTCGATGAATTGGTCGAGCGAAATCTTTGACACGTGCTGTTCAGTGACCCTTGTCAGGCAATCGCGCGAAATCTTTCGATAGGTGCTGTTTCAGCGAGCCATGGTCAGGGAATCGTGTGAAATTCTTCACACATGCTGTTTTGTCGGGTATGAAACATACAAAGACTTTTCCGCCAAACACACGTCACGATCGCCTGGAATCTGTCTGAACTCGGATTTTTTTTTTCCTTTGCAACCTTTCGGGGCCGTTGCGCAGTGCCACGTCACCCAACGCATTTTGTCGCGCACTTCACAAACGATCAAAACGTCTCATACAAAATGCGTTTAATCCTAAATTCTGGTGTTTGAGGCGAGTCTGACAAGGGGCTGGCCTGATAGGGGCCCGTAGGAACACGCTCTAAGACTCGAAGTGATGATGTAATTGCGGAAGTGTTGTAGTGAACTAGTTGAATCACCTTGCACTAGTGTAAGGATTTACAAATCCTTATTGAGGCACTCGTTAGCGAGGCCATCCCGAGGGTCACGCGACGAACCTGTTGGGCATATTTCGTCGCACCGAACTGTCAAACTATATATTATTTATAGGTTTAGGCTTTAGTGGGGTAGCTCATGTAGCAGTGCCCTAGATATCAGACTTTTTACGCTGATTCAGCGTCCATTCAGACTTTTTTTTTTTGTACCTGGTCTGAACTGAAAGTTTTTTTTTTATGTACCTTCTCTGATTTTTCAGAGTTTTTTTTATTGTAACCGCTGAAATTTCAGCCAATTTTTAGGGGTGTAGGCTGAGCCTCAGACTTGTGTCGGGTGTGCACTCTGCGAGCTTATCGAAACGAAGTTTCCTGGAAGTTTCGTTTCGATATGCCCACTTCCGAGATGGCAGTGGAGTGCCAGGACGTAAGCAACACACGCTTCAACAGCTGGGACATCCGAATACAATCGTTCCTCGAGAATATCTCCCAGTTACACTAAGAAAATGGTTGCGTGATTACGAGATTTTGTAGACAAATTCTCGTCACATGTAAGTTATCGCTAATGTATTTTAAAGAATTGGCGATTTTGATGCTGATTCTTTGTAAAAAAATATGCAGCATGCACTGCTGTAAAGTTGCGAAGCTCCTGATTCGTAGTGAAAGTTTCGTGCGGCACTGCCATATGCTCACACACGCCACGCCAACCAACAGTTTCTGCCTGCTGCCAGCTCAGCTGCGTGGCACTTGGCCCACCTGGCACTGTACGTGACAACAACCAGATCGGGTGAATGATCACATCGCTTGAAACACAAATCCAAAATTGACAAGATCGGCACACTGGCGAGAAAATGGGTACAGAACGGTAGTCAGACACACGACGAAACGAAATCTAATCAGCAGAAACAACCCATGCGCTGCACGTGACAAAACAACCAAGGCGATGCACGAGCACGTTGCCTGATGCAAACCCGCCGACCCTGACTGGTTCGTACCGCACAGTTGAGTTGGTATGCTGTAATCAGCTTCAATGCTATTATAAATATGCTTTTATGATACTGCATCATCATCTTAAAATTTGAGGGTAACTCTGACAGTTCAGACAAAAAAAGTTGTGCTTGTCTGAATTTTCAGACTAAAATTTTGAGGCACCTCTGACAGACAGAGTTCCAGAAGGGGTGTACTCTGAGGCGTCAGACTACCTCAAAACGAATCTAGGGGCCTGTCATGTAGGGTACAACCCCTTAGGGTTCTCATCCCTGTACCCAACTCCCTCGATAGTCAAACAATCCTACCTAGAACTCTAACATGGTATTAAGAGCAATACCGGTAGGTCCTTAGGACCTTAGGAACGATTTTTTTTTGGCCCACCACCTACTTCTAACGGTTCTTGTTGAAAGAGTTGTCAGAATATTATCTTATTGTTCTAGCCTGTAGTGGGGTGCTCTATAGCGAGTACAACCCTTCTAGGGTTTGCTATTTGTATCCTCATTCTTGCTAGTTCAATCCTCCCTCTTTTCTTCTTCTAACTTTTGACATGGTATCAGAGCAGGTCGATCCCCTTGGATCGATCCTGTGGGTGGGCTCACCACCTCGTTGCTTCCGCTGCAACTGCTACTGCTACTCTCTATGCCGCACGCCCCGTGGCGTGCGGCAGTTTTTTCTTCCCGCCACGTGCTCGGGGCGCATGGCGGTTTTCTGCCCACCGCGCGCTCAGTGCGTGCGGCGGTTTTCTGCCCACCGTGCGCCCCGAGGCGCGCGGCGGTTTCCTGCTTCGCGCGGCGGTATTCTGCACGCCATGCGCTCAGGACGCGTGGCGGTTTTCTGCCCACCGCGCACCCTGGGCGCACGCGGCGGTTTCGCGTTCCGTCGACCCGCACGCCCGTCCCCGTCGACCTGCGTGCGGCTCCTCGTCGCCCTTCGCGGCGTCCCCGTCAACCCGCGCGAGGCTCCCTGTCGCCCTTAGTGGCGGCCCCGTCGACCCGCGCGCCGCCTCCGGCGACCGGTGTGCCCATCCCCGTCGACCCGCGTGTCGCCCTGCGCCCCCCCCCCCCCCCCCCCCTCCCCGCACACCTGCGTTTGCTTACCGCACACCCGAGTTCGCTTCCCGCACACCCGATTTTGCTTCCCGCACGCTTGTGCATGCTTCGCGCACACCTGAGCTCGCCTACCGCACACTCAGGGTATGGGGGTGACGGGTATGGGGGTGGCGGGTGTGCGCGGTCCCCTGCTCCTCCTCCTCCTCCGTCTCCCACTGCTGCAGCTGCCGCTGAGGGGGGTGGGTGTGTGGGAGACGAAGGAGTGGTGCTAGGGGGGTGTGTGGGAGTAGAGCTAGTGGTGTAGCAGTGGGTGTGTATGAGGGGGGTGGGACTGTGTGCGGGAGGATGAGTGGAGGTTGCCAGTTTGTCGTCAGCAACACCTGTATTCCGGGGGCTTCGCCCGGTAGCCCAGTCGTAGCCAGCTGTGCCAGCCGCCCGTGGGTCCGTTGCTCGTCTGCCGCTACTTTAGCCGCGGGGCCAGTTACTCCAGTAGTCCGGGGGCGTCGCCCGGTAGCCGCTGTGCCAGTGTGCCTCCTGTTGCCCGTGTGTCTGCAGCTTCAGCTGTCGCCTCCCAACTCCTCTCGCTCTCACTCCTCCTCCTCACTTGCCCGTTGTGACCACCACTAGTTTTGCTTATAATTGTGAACTATGAACTATTTCTTCTTGAACTTGTGCTCAGAATGTGTGGTGACATTGTGATCCACCCTGAGCTTGTTTTGCTTTGCCTGCTCTGCTGATTACACCCCACTTTGGCTATGGGGGTGTGTCAGAATATTATCTTATTGTTCTAGCCTGTAGTGGGGTGCTCTATAGCGAGTACAACCCTTCTAGGGTTTGCTATTTGTATCCTCATTCTTGCTAGTTCAATCCTCCCTCTTTTCTTCTTCTAACTTTTGACAAGAGTATCTTAAGCAAGATAGTAGGAACCCTAGGTATGGCGAGAGTGAGGAACGAGAGTCGAGAGAGAAGGCCAAAAAGAGGAGTTTCACTATAGACTCAAAGGTACAAATAGGCAAGAAGCATGACAAGAAGGTGCACCACCAAATAGGAAAACGCTATAACTACGGTAACCAATCCTACAGGCTGTTACATATAGAAAATATTAACATATATTTTCCGACAGTTCTCGAGCAACCCCGTGCCCCGTACTGCCCTAGCCCCGCGCGCATTCTGCTAGCAGCCTGTGCGGCATGCGCGTCGCCCGTTAGTAGCCCGCGCGACCCGCTAGTCGCCTCTGCTGGCCCGCGCGCCGCCCGTTAGGAGCCCGCGCGACCCGCCTGCCAGCAGCCCCGTAGGCCCTGTAGCCCCGTGCGCCGCCTGCTCCTGCCGCGGCTGCCTGCTACGCCCCGCGCGCCGCTTGTCGCGCTGCCCCGCAGCCCCGTGCGCCGCCCGCCCTGTTGCTTTGTCGGCCGCTCGTCGCCCCGTGCGCCGCCTGCCCTACTGTCGCGGCTGCCTGCTGCACCTAGGCGCCGCCCGCCCTGCTCCTGCAGCTGCCTATTAGGCTCTGCGTGCGGCCCGCTCTGCTGCCCTGCCGGCCGCTTGTAGCCCCATACGCTGCCTGAACTCCTAGCGCGCTGCTGCACCAGCGTTGCTGCAGCTGCTACTACTTGCTGCAGCTCCTACTATTTGCTGCAGCTGCTACTACTTGTCGCAGCTGCCACTACTTGCTGCAGCTGCTACTACTTGCTGCAGCTGCTACTACTTGCTGCAGCTGCTACTACTTGCTGCAGCTGCTCCTCCTTGCTGCAGCTGCCACTACTTGCTGCAGCTGCTCCTCCTTGCTGCATCTACTCCTCCTTGCTGCTGCTGCTGCTACTTGCTGCAGCTGCTCCTCCTTGCTGCAGCTGCTCCTTCTTGTTGCTGCTGCTCCTACTTGCTGCAGCTGCTCCTTCTTACTGCTGCTGCTCCTACTTGCTGCAGCTGCTCCATCTTGCTGCTGCTGCTCCTACTTGCTGCAGCTGCTCCTCCTCGCTGCTGCTACTGCCGCTTGCCTGCAATCGCTCTGCCCTGCTAGCAGCTACGGCCACCCTCCGCGTTCTGTCGTTCGATGCCGAGGGCCGCCCGATTCAGTTCGACGCCTGGCTCGATGACCTGCAGCTGTTCCTAATGAGCGATAGCAAGGACAATGTCTCGCTCTATGACCACACGTCTGGTGCCGCAGTCGCTCCCGCTGCCACCGCTGAGCTTAGTGCCAGTTCCCAATGGCAGACTCGTGACGCTGCTGCTCGCCTAGCCGTTCGCAACCACCTGCCGTTAGCCAAGCTCACGCACTTTGGCGAGCACAAGACCGCTATGGCCCTTTGCGACGCTGTAGTGGCTCGATACACCTCTCCTGCCACAGCTGAGCTTAGCCGCCTCATGCTGCCCTACCTGTTTCCTGAGCTGTCCACTTTTTCCACGGTTGCCGATCTCATCACCCACCTTCGCACTAGCGACACTCGCCTTCGCGCCGCCCTCCCCACAGAGTTCTGTGCTAAGAACCCACCTCCGATGTACAGGACCCTCCACTTCATAATTACCCGCCTCCCCGACTCACTGAGCTCGATAAGGGACTATTTTCTCGCTCGCAGTCCCACCGACCTCACTGTAGACCTCCTAGAGGGCCTCCTTGTAGCAGAGAAGAGCATTGTTGCTGTAGGTGCTGCTCGCGGTGCTCCTCGCACCCCTATCTTCGAGGGGTGCTCTCCCTCTCCCCTCGCCCCCTCCTTTGCTACTGCTGCTGCTGTTGACTTCCTTGGTGCTGAGTCTGCTGGTGCTGCCTCTGCTCCTAGTGGGAGGCGTCGCAACGGCAAGGGCAAGGGAGCCAAGGGCGGCGGATGTGGCTTCGGGGGGGGTGGAGGTGGAAGAGGTGGAGGAGGAGGAGGTAGTGGAGGGGCTGGTGGCGGGAGTGCTGGCGGGAGTGGTAACGTCGGTAGCGGTGGTGGAGGCGGTGGCGGCGGAGGGGGTGGCGGCGGGGGTGGCAGCGGGAGTGGCGGCGGCGGTGGCGGCCGGGGCGGTGGTGGCGGTGGCGGTGGCGGTCGGGGTGGAGGCACTAGCGCTGGCCAGAGACAGCAGCAGCAGCAGCGTCCCCAGACGTCCCAACAATTTCGTGAGTGGCTTGCTCAACGTGGGAAGTCTGGGGGTGGTGGTCGCTGCCCATATGTCATTCGCACAGGTGACCGCAAGGGTCAGACGTGCAACAGGTTCCACACCTAGCACCGCTACTTCTCCCGCCTTGACGATGCCTGGCGTGAGGAGATGGGCGATGAGTATGAGCGCCCTCGCTAGCATGAGCTGTGGAAGGCTGGTGTAGATGTTTTTGCTCTTGACTTTGATGCTATTATCTCTGCTATGTATGCATTGGAAGATAGTGCTGATGGTGACTGTTACCTGTGTATGCCGCCTGACCCGGGTATAGAGCCTGCTGCTTTAGGTGCTAGTGAGTCTGCTCTTTCAGGTACTGAGCCTGCTGAGGCCTAGCACACCTTAACGCTTGACTCAGGTGCTTCTCCCTGTTTCTTCCGTGACAGTACCGCACTCACACTGCTCCCTGCGCCTGTCGCCGTCTCACTGGCTGACCCCTGGGGGGGCCCAGTTCTTGCACGGTCCACCACTGTGCTTCTGTGTCCGGCGGTCCCGTCTGGCTCACTGTCAGGTCTCCACCTCCCCTCGTTCTCGACGAACTTGGTGAGCAACGCTGCCCTTCAGGATGTGGGGGTTAATACCTTCACCCCTGCATGGCAGCGTGTGGCGATCTGCACGTGTGCACAGACTGGCCATCACCTGGCCACGTTCACCCGTCGGCCAGGGTCGAGTCTTTACACACTGACGACTGTGTCTCCTCAGGTTGCTACTGTCGGCCAGGTGTCTGCGTCAGGTCTGGTAGCCTCCCCTTGTGAGTGTCTTCAAGGCTCGTTACGTTGCTCGAGGTTTCAGTCAGCGAGAGGGAGTTGACTTCTTCCAGACCACCTCTCTCACCTCGAAGATGACCACTCTTTGGGTGCTGCTGCACGTTGCCGCTCAGCGTGACTACGAGCTTCACTCTCTGGACTTCAGCACAACTTTCTTACAGGGCAGTCTGCACGAGGAGATTTGGCTGCGCCGCCCACCTGGCTTCACTGGGTCGTTCCCTCCTGGTACTTAGTGGAGCCTCCGCCGGCCGGTCTACGGTCTCCGTTAGGCGCCTTGTGAGTGGCACGACACACTGAGGACGACACTTGTGGCTCTTGGGTTTGCACCTTCTACTGCTGACCCGTCGCTGTTTCTGCGCACCGACACTTCGTTGCCGCTATTCTACATCCTCGTATACGTCGACGACTTGGTCTTTGCCACTGCTGACACTGAGGCTCTTGCCCTTGTGAAGTCGGAGCTGCAGAAGAGACACACGTGCACAGACCTGGGTGAGCTGCGCAGGTACCTTGGCCTGTAGATCACCCAGGACAGAGCACAGCGCACCATCACACTGACTCAGTCACACATGGTGCAGCAGGTCCTTCAGCGCTTCGGCTTCACCTGGTCCTCACCACAGCACACTCCTCTGGCTACAGGCCACTCACTCTCAGCTCCACCTTCGGACGATTACGTAGAGCTGAGTGGTTCTTACCCAGAGTAGGCTGCCTCATGTACCTGATGACCTGCACTCGACCTGACCTTGCGTACCCTCTTGGCATTCTGGCTCGCTACGTGTCTCCTGGTAGGCACCGAAAGGAGCACATGGGTGCTGCTAAGAGGGTATTGCGCTACTTGTGCAGTACATCGGGCATGGGGCTCATGCTTGGAGGGCGGAGCCCAGTTGTCCTCACTGGGCACTCAGACGCTTCTTGGGTCAACGACCTAGCTACGCAGCGGTCGTAACAGGGTTACACCTTCAGCCTTGGCTCTGGTTTTGTTTCGTGGCGGTCTAAACGCTCGTCTTCTGTTCTCAGCTCCAGTTGTGAGGCTGAGATCTACGCCACAGCCATGGCTGCACAGGAGCTACGCTGGCTCACCTACCTGCTGACAGATTTGGGAGAGAGGACTCGTTCTCCTCCAGTTCTGTACGTCGACAACAAGGCTGCCATTGCCTTGTGTCACGACCACAGACTGGAGCACAGAACGAAGCACATCGCTCTGCGTTACTTCCTTGCTTGAGAGTTGCAGCGCGTGGTAAGCTTTGTGTCGCTCACGTGCCCGCCCGGGCCAACACGGCTGATGTGTTCACCAAGGCCCTTCCGGCTGGTGATCATCAGCGCTTCTGCACTGCACTAGGCCTGGTGCCTATGTTTCCTCACTTGCTGTAGACTCTGGTTGTACTGTGATCTATATGTATATACCTGCATGTTTACTCTTGCTAGGTAGTGATCACTGTACTGTTGTTGTTGCATATATACATCTGCTTGTGAACTGGCCTTGTGGCTCCTTTGCTTGTGCTCAGAGTGTGTGGTGACGTTGTGATCCACCCTGAGCTTGCATTGCTTTTCTTGACTGGACTTGTAACCCCTTGTTCTCCCCCACTTTGCCTATGGGGGTGTGTCAAACTATATATGATTTATACTTAGGTTTAGGCTTTAGTGAGGTAGCTCATGTAGGGTACAACCCCTTAGGGTTCTCATCCTTGTACCCAACTCCCACGATAGTCAAACATTCTGTCAAACTATAATCATGCTTGTGCTGTGTAGGCTGTAGTGGGGTATCCCATAAGGGGTATAACCCAAATTAGGGTTAACATATGTACCCACATCTCTGTTAAATGCATCATTCCTCCTGCTAGATTCTAACATGGTTTTAGAGTACTAGGTCCGTAGGACCGTTTTTTTTTCGGGCCCACCTACCATTGCGGTTACCACGCTACCCTACGTGTTGCCCTGCGTCTGCGTGCCTGCCTGCCTTGCCTTGTGACGTGCTGCGCTGCGCGCGCCGTCCTGCAGCCCCTGCGCTGCCTACTGCTGCCCTAGGCCAGCGCGCCGCCCCTGCAGGCCCGTAAGACCCGCGCGCTGCCCCTGCAGACTCGTCAGGCCCGTGCGCCGCCCCTGCAGGCCCGTCAGGCCCGCTAGCCGTCCCTGCAGGCCCGTCAGGTCCGCGAGCCGCCCCTGCAGGCCCGTCAGGCCAGAGCGCCGCCCCTGCAGGCCCGTCAGGCCTGCTAGCCGCCCCTGCAGGCCCGTCAGGCCCGCTAGCCGCCCCTGCAGGCCCGTCAGGCCCGCTAGCCGCCCCTGCAGGCCCGTCAGGCCCGCTAGCCGCCCCGGCAGGCCCGTCAGGCCAGCGAGCCGCTCCTGCAGGCCCGTCAGGCCAGGTCGCCGCCCCGCGCGACGCGCCCGCTGCCCGCGCGTCGCGCTGCAGCCCCGCGCCTCGCGTCCGCTGCCCGCGCATCGCGCTTCAGCCCTGCGCGTCGCGCCCGCTGCCCGCGCGTCGCGCTGCAGCCCCGCGCGTCGCGTTCGCTGCCTGCGCATCGCGCTGCAGCCCCGCGCGCCACGCTCGCTGCCCGCGCATTGCGCTGCAGCCCCGCGCGCCGCGCCCGCAGCTCGCGCATCGCGCTGCGTCCCCGCGCGCCGCGCTCGCAGCTCGCGCAGCGCGCTGCAGCCTCACGCGCCGCGGCTGCCCCTGGACGCCGCCCCTGCCTTGCTGCCACCGTCGTTCCTGCAGCAGCTGCCACGGAGCGCCCTACTACAGTCGCGGCCCTGCCCTGGAGCAGCTGCCGCGGAGCCTCCTGCCGCTGTCGCGGCCCTGCCCTGCAACAGCTGTCGCGGAGCCTTCTGCCGCGGTCGCGGCCCTACCCTGCAGCAGCTGCCGCGAAGCCTCCTGCCGCGGTCGCGGCCCCGCCCTGCAGCAGCTGCCGCGGAGCCTTCTGCCGCGGTCGCGGCCCCGCCCAGCAGCAGCTGCCGCGGAGCCTTCTGCCGCAGTTGCGGCCCCGCCCTGCAGCTGTCACGGCCTCGCCCTGCAGCAGCTGTCGCGGACCTGCCCTACCGCCGACGCGGCCCTACTCTGCGGCCGCTGTTGCGGCCCTGCTGAGCGTTGGCCCTGCCTACCACTGGTGAGCACCTAACTTTTTCGTGCGCTGCCGCCTGCCTGCCTGCCTGCCTCCTGCGTGTCAGAATCCCAACCACTAGACCATTGGGATAAAAGGGCTTGTTAAGTAGCGGGTCAGTGCGCCCATAACCCCCCAGGACAACAAGCCTGTAACCCTTCCCTAGGATCAATCAGGGATCTCCGGTGGACCTCTGACACTGCCTGCCTGCCTGCCTGCCGCGCCTGCCCTACACGAGTTGCTACTGACAGTGGCCAGATGCAGCTCCAATGACGTCCGCGTGAGACCCTCACGCCCCAGCAGCTTAGTGAGTGGTACGCTAGTTGGGGTTGTAGGGGTGACCGCGCTGCTACTGTTGCTACTGCTGTTACTGTTGCTACTGCTGCTACTACTGCTACTACTGCTACTGGCGGTGGCCAGATGCACCTCCAGCAACGTCCGCGTGAGTCCCTCACGCCCCAGCAGCTTAGTGAGTGGTACGCTAGTTGGGGTTGTAGGGGTGGCCGCGCTGCTACTGCTGCTACTGCTGTTACAGCTGCTACTGCTGCTACTAATACTACTGCTGCTACTGGCGGTGGCCAGATGCAGCTCCAGCGACGTCCGCGCGAGTCTCGCACGCCCCAGCAGCTTCGTGAGTGGTACGCTCAGAGTAGAGGGTCTCTGAGTACCGTTCGCTGCCTGTACGTCATTCGCACTGGTGCTCGGACTGGTCAGGCTTGCGGGACGCTCAGTCACATACAGTCCCGCTGCTTCGCCCGTCTGAGCGACGCCTGGCGTACCGAGTTTGGTGACGAGGCTGAGCTCCCCGATTGGGTGGAGCTGCTTGGGCAGAGGGTAGATATATTTGCTCTTGATTATGATGCTATTCTCACTGCCATGTATGCATTGCCTACTAGTGCTGACCGTACCTGTTACCTGTGCGTACCGCCTGACCTAGGTATAGAGCCTGCTGCTCTAGGTGCTGGTGAGGTTGCTGATCTAGGGGCTAGTGTGTCTCCTGCTCTAGGTACTGGTGAGGCTGCTGCTCTAGGTGCTGGTGAGTCTGCTCTCTCTGGTACTGCGCCTGCTGAGGCCTTGTACACCTTCACACTTGACTCTGGTGCTTCTCGCTCCTTCTTTCGCGACAACACCACCCTCACGCCGCTCAATCGGCCGGTTCCAGTCTCCCTGGCAGACCCCTCTGGGGGTCCAGTCCGTGCGACCTCCTCCAGTATCCTCCCTTGTCGTGCTGTCCCGTCCGGCACACTGTCGGGTCTTTACCTCCCCTCATTCTCTACGAACTTGGTGGCGGGTTCTGCGCTCCAGGACGCGGGTGTTCACCAGTTCACCCCTGCCTACGAGCGTGTGACACACTGCACGCATGCTAAGACGGGTCGTCACCTGGCTACCTTCACTCGGCAGCCGGGGTCGGGCCTGTACACACTGACCACTGAGTCCCCTCAGGTAGCTGCATCTGCGTCTGTGTCAGGTCAGTTGTCGGCCCCCTCCCCACTCCCGGTCCTGCTCCTTCAGGTGTGTCTCATGTAGACCCTCCTCTCTTGCCTGCGCTTGTTGAGGTCACTGGTGACTCAGGTCCTGCTGAGAGTGGTCCTGCTCGGGGTGCTGCTACTGAGGGTGCTGAGCCTTGGGGTGTGGAGCCTGGGGGTGTTGAGCCTGGGGGTGCGGAGCCTGGGGGTGCTGAGCGTGGGGGTGCGGAGCCTAGAGGTGCGGAGCCTGTGGGTGGGGAGACTGGAGGTGTTGAGTCTGGGCATGAGGAGTCTGGGGGTGCTAAGCCTGGGGGTACTGAGTCTGGGGGTGCTACACCTGGGAGCGCTGAGGCGTGTGGTGAGCAGTCTCCTTGGGGCGGCCGTCTCCGTAGTCGCTCCACTGGTACCTCGCCGCTGCACTCTCTTCGTCGACTCACACTCTCCCCACAGCAGCTGCGTGAGTGGTACGTTGGCCATCAGGGTCGCGCTGCTGGAGCTAGGGGCCCTGCTGCGGAAGGCGCTGGAGCCGGTGACTCTGCTACTAGAGTTGTTTCTGCTGGAGGTTCTGGAGGTGCTGAAGGTGCTAGAGCTGGAGGTTCTGGAGCTGCTGCGGGTGCTGGTGCTAGAGGTTCTGGAGCTGGAGGTTCTGGAGCTGCTGAGGGTACTAGCGCTGGAGGTGCTGGAGCTGCTGCGGGTGCTGGTGCTGAGGGTTCTGAGTCTGCTGTTGTGCGGTCTCCTTGGAGTAGCCGCCTTCGTCCGCGTGTGCCTCTCATCTCTCAGCAGCTGCACGACTGGTACGGTCGCCGTCAGGGTCGCGCTTCTGGAGCTCGGCGCTCTGCCGTTGGAGGTATTTCTGCTTCCGTCACTGGAGCTGAGAGTGGTGCTGGTCCCGGAGGTGCTCGTACTGGAGGTACTGGAGCTGGAGGTACTGGAGCTGGAGGTGCTGAGCCTGAGGGTGCTACTGCTGGAGACCCTGGGTCGGGGGGTGCTGCTACTGGTGACACTGAGGCTGGGGACCCTAGGACTGGAGGTGCTTGTTCAGAGGGTGCTGCTGCTGGTGGAGCTGGTCCTGGAGGAGCTGGCGCTGAGGGGTCTGGTGCTGCTGGAGGTGCTAGAGCTGCTGGGGGTCCTGGAGCTGCTGGTGCTGGTGGCACTGCACAGCCGCGCCTGTTCTTTGCTCCGTTGTCTCCGTCGTCTCAGCCACCGTCTGACTCTGTACTTCGCCAGGTTCTTAGTCTCCTTTCATCTACTGGTCTTCCGTTATAGCCTGGCTCACCGCTGCCTGCTCCTTCTCCTTACACTGAGTAGTCAAGGGGTTTTACTGAGCGTCGTGAGCCTGCGTTGCATCCTGTCTCGCCTATCTGTTCTGGTCGTTTCGGTCGTCGTGTTCCTCGTTCGCGTCAGCCGGTTGTCCAAGGCACCCACCTCATAGTTCGTCGTCCTTCCTCTCCTCCGCAGAGTGTTCCTCTGCCGTCCCCTCCTGTGTCTTCTCTGCCTACCGTTCCTGAACATGAGTCTGACCGCGTTCGTGCTGCTAGCCCTACTGTCACACGTCTGCTAGCCACTGTTGTCACTGACCCGTCGTTTGAGTCTGCTGCTGCGTCTGCCTTAGTCGCTGAGCTTGTTGACTTTGCTGCTGCATGTCGTCTAGACTACGCCGCTGGTCTGATTGCTGAGTCTGAGACTGTCTGTCCTCCGTCTGTCAGGGGTGAGTGTGCTCTTGGCACGGACGTCCTTGAGGACAAGCAGGAGGGCCTTGAGTGTCTTGCAGCCGCTGCGCCTCATCTCGTGTCCATGGTGCTTACCCCTGAGGGAGACCCGGATGCTCCAGACATCCCGACCCCGCGCTCTTACGCTGAGGCGATCGCGGGTGAGTACTCCTCTCAGTGGCAGACAGCCATGGACGCAAAGATGGCATCCTGGAAGTCCACAGGCACCTACGTCGACGAGGTTCCCCCTCCTGGGAGGAACATCGTCAGTGGCATGTGGATTTTCAGGGTGAAGCGGCCGCCAGGTTCTCCGCCTGTCTTCAAGACTCGTTATGTTGCTCGAGGTTTCAGTCAGCGAGAGGGAGTTGACTTCTTCCATACCTTCTCCCCAACCACGAAGATGACCACTCTTTGGGTGCTGCTACACGTTGCTGCTCAGCGTGACTACAAGCTCCACTCTCTTGACTTCAGCACAACTTTCTTACATGGCAGCCTGCACGAGGAGATCTGGTTGCGCCGCCCTCCTGGCTTCACTGGGTTGTTCCCTCCTAGTACCAAGTGGAGCCTCCGGCGGCCGGTCTACGGTCTCCGCCAGGCGCCACGTGAGTGGCACGACACACTAAGGACGACACTTGCGGCTCTTGGGTTCGCGCCTTCTACTGCTGACCCGTCGTTGTTTCTACGCACCGACACTTCACTGCCGCCGTTCTACATCCTCGTGTACGTCGCCAACTTAGTCTTTGCCACTGCGGACACTGAGGCTCTCGCCCTGGTGAAGTCGGAGCTGTAGAAGAGACACACGTGCACAGACCTGGGTGAGCTGCGCAATTACCTTGGCTTGCAGATCACCCGGGAAAGAGCACGCCGCTACGTGGCTCCTGGTAGGCACCGACCGGCGCACATGGCTGCTGCTAAGAGGGTACTGCGCTACTTGTGCGGTACATCGGGCATGGGGCTCGTGCATGGAGGGCGGAGCCCAGTTGTCCTCACTGGGCACTCGAACGCTTCTTGGGTTGACGAGCTGGCTATACAGCGGTCGTCACAGGGTTACACCTTCAGCTTAGGCTTTGGCTCTGTTTCTTGACGGTCTACATGTCGTCTTCTGTTCTCGGCTCCAGTTGTGAGGCTGAGATCTACGCCACAGCCATGGCTGCACAGGAGCTACGCTGGCTCACCTACCTGCTGACCAACATGGGAGAGCGGCCTCGTTCTTCTCCAGTGAAGTACGTAGACAACAAGGTCGCCATTGCCTTGTGTCAGTAGCACTGACTGGAGCATAGAACGAAGCACATCGCTCTGCGTTACTTCCTGGCTCGAGACTTGCAGCAGCGGGGTCATCTTCGTCTTGCTCACGTGGCCACTGGGGCCAACACTGCTGATATATTCACCAAGGCATTTCCGTCTGGTGATCATCAGCGTTTCTGCACTCTTGTTAGGCCTTGTGCCCACTTTTCCTCACTTGCTGTAGACGTTGCTTGTACTGTGATCGATATATATACCTGCTTGCTTGCTCTGCTAGGTAGAGATCAGTGTGATGCTGTTGTTGCATATATACCTCTGCATGTGAACTGGCCTTGTAGCCCTTTGCTTGTGCTCAGTGTGTGTGGTGACGTTGTGATCCACCCTGAGCTTGTTTGCTTCTCTTGACTGGTCTTGTGACCCCTTGCTCTCCCCCACTTTGCCTATGGGGGTGTGTGTGTCAAACTATAATCATGCTTGTGTTGTGTAGGCTGTAGTGGGGTAGCCCATAAGGGGTACAACCCAAATTAGGGTTAGCATATGTACCCACATCTCTGTTCAATGCATCAT